ATCAGAATAGAATGGAATGGAATAGATCAGAATAGAATGGAATGCTAAACTCTCTGCAGGTTCTTGTCTTTGTCGTCCGCTCTATGCAGCTGGCTTTGGAAACACACGGCGAGAAGGTGGGGGCCGAGTGGTGAGGGTAACGGGGGCGAGAAACACAAAAGTAACGCAATAGTTACTTTAGCTAGTAACTAATTACTTTTCTTGTGGAGTAACTCAGTTAGTAACTCAGTTACTTTTTGGACGTACGTACTCTGTTTCTGCTTAGATAAGATAATAGTCATTCACCCAGTAAGATAATCTGGATATAATCTGAGATGGGGGAGCTGGTTTGGAAAGGATTGGGGCCAAGATCTCAGCCTTGAGGAGCTCCATGTTATGTTTGCTACAGGAAGAGCTAAAACTGTTCATGTTTTCTCTCTGGTTCGTCAAACAGAGGATGAAGGAGCAGGTGGGTCACAGGCAGGCGTTTTCACCCAGAATCCCACCGCTCCAGAGGTCGGATCAGCGCCCAGCAGAGAACCTCTGCAGCCCAGTTTGGATCACGAGGAGTACTGGGAGGAAGGGGAAGATATGGAGAATGACAGGAAGGAAAAAGAGGGAATCATCCCGCTCACCACAGATCCTTCTCCCACCACTGGCTTCACCGAGACGGAGTTGGATCCCGGCCTGGAGGAGCCGATGCAGGTCGGTTCAGATTCCCTTCACACAATTAGAAAAAAAAAAAGTCTGTTCTCTCACCTGTGAATGTTTCAGGTGGTTTGTTTGAACTGGAGTGAGCTGGCTGGGCGTGGCTACGTGGTCCTCAACATGACCAAGAACATGAACTGTGTAAGTACCAGGAACCACTTTGGTTCCTTTAGATTTATCTGCCCTTGGCCTCATTAATACCCTGATTCAAAACAACAAACCCTGGATAACTGGGATTAAATCAAGCTATTTGTGCCAAATCCCTTAAAGCATCACATCAAACAAACAACTGTTCAAAGATTCATTTACACCCAGTTTATTTTCCAATCTGAACCCTTGTCTGGTCTTAAATCTCCTGCTGCTCTTCCTCCAGCAGTGACTGAGCTAACAGTAATTAGCGCCATCCTTTGATGGAAGCTCCAGTTCTATGGAAGAAAAACAGTCTCATTGAAATATGTCTTTTAGTTACAATGAATTTTAAACACTGAATTTTTTTAGCTCCGAATTTTAGACGCTGAGTTTATTTACACATTGAATAACTTTTTATCTGGTGAAAATTACCCACAAAAAATTTGAATGCAAATGTGTCGACCTTTTGGTGAACTGAAGCCAAAGCAACCTACAGTCAATGCAGTCGAGCAGCTCCTAGCCAATGAAATTAGCTCATTTGGTCATTCAACAAAAGGTCAACACATTTACAGGCCAATTTTTTGCAGCAGAGCGTGCCTCTTGGCGCAGTGGTTAGCGTGCACGTCCCATGTACGGAGGCCTTAGTCCTCGACGCGGCCGACCCGGGTTCGAATCCAACCTGTGTTCAATGGCCGCATGTCTCACCCCCTTTCCTGTCAGCCTGCTGTAAAGAAAACAAGCCACTAGTGCCATAAAAAAAAAATCTAAAAAAAACCCCTTTTTTTTTTGCAGTCAAAATTTTTGCTCATGAATTTTTTCAGTCGAATTTTTTGCAGGTGATTTTTTTTCAGCTGATTTTTTTTTTTGCATCTCAACTTTTTGTTGGCTAATTTTTTGCAGCTGAATTTTTGCAGGCAAATACGGTGAACAGAAAAGGCAGATTCCAATGAGTGTTTTTCTTCCATACATTTCAGGTTTAAAGGAACTGCTTTCTAAACATCTCAGGCAGTTTCTTCAAGTTTGTTCCAATTTTTCCATGCCATGTTGCATTTATCTGACCTGAGCCTCAGTAAGAATCGGCATAGAAGTGGGAAGAAAAACAACGGCCATGGCGGACGATAAAGTCGAGAACAGTCTTTATTTTCAACCATCTTGAAAAGACTGTGTTGTTAATGCACTGACTTTAGTTTGGATAGAAATGAAAGATCGCTAGATGCGCTCCTGCATCATCCATGTTTTCTTCTGTAAACACAGAGCACGCTCACTTGTGACGTCATCGCCTCCTCTGCTGCGCATGCGGGACACTTGCGCTGTTTGAATACAGTTCACACCAGAGATCACATACAATTCGCATAGATTTGAATAGTGAATGACCACGCAAAATCGGATTTAACAAAAAAAATGGAATTGAGCATCACTGCAGAGTGAACGTAGCCTAAATGCTTCTGGTCCCGGGGTTAAGCAGTCTCTGAATCAGATGACTGATTCTCTCCTTCAATCTGTTAACGAGACACTTTGATTCAGGTTTGCTGAAGCAGGGATGCATCTACAGACTGCAAGGCAGCGGATCTCAGCTCTGAAATTTATTTTGTTTTCTAAATGTATTTATTTTTGAAATCTAGTCTTTGACAAACAGTGATTAAAAGCTGATAGCTGCAGGCTAAGCTCCTCCCAGGCACTAGGTGGCGCACTCCCACTCACCCGCTCTCCTTTGGTAATGTTTGCCAGCCAATTTCCACCTTTGGTTAGCATTAGCAAATATTGAACTTAGTTATCCAGATTTTTTTATGTTTTTTTTTTGCTTCTTTTTATTTGATTAAATTTATACTTTTTGGCTTGAATCTAGAGAAATATAACGTAGAAGAAGCAATTTCTCCGTCCATCTTTGATCCAAACCCTGCAATGATCCGTTCTTCTGTTAGGAGTAGACTGTCACCGTCGCGACATTTACCCCATACTGCTCCCAGTGCATTAACGGTTTCCACGGTAACCTGCTGAGGCCACGGTAACGTCGTGGATCGCTGAGTGTTCGAGCTTCATAGAAAATGTGTTTGTTTGTGAGACAGGAGGAGTTTCGTGTTTGCCAGGGCGTCCAGCTGCTGAAGATCATCGAACGTGAGTTTGCACGCAGGATGAACAGCCCTGAGGGATCATGGGTACTTTACCTCAGCAAGCCAACGCATCAGCAACACCAGCTGCTGATGAACCTGGCGTCTGGATGGGGTACGCTTCTCTTCTGTTGCTCTTAAACCAAACTGTTAGCAAAACAGGACTTTAGGAACAGCAAAATGTTCTCACTTTGATGAGTCTCTCTGGAGTCGTAGACGGGTAGATGTTGGCCAATGGGGCGGGTAATTGCTGTTCATCATGTTCTGTCTTTTAGGAGTCATTGCTGCTCAGGAAGTTCTGGACATGTTAGGAGAAATCAGGACGAGCCTCAATAAGGTACAGAAACATTTATCTAGCATTGAGTCTGTTCTGTTGGTCTGCTTTAGTTACAATTATACTTTCACTTTTGATCTACAGCTTTTTGTCAATAAATTTGAAATTTGGGATCATAGTTGAATTCTGATTTCTTCTTTCTTACATCGCCATTTAGCGAAAAATGTCATGGTTTTATTTTTGGTCCGTAACGTCCTGCTGCCTGATCTTTTAAAGTGTTTCATCGACTATTCTTCAGATTTCCTTAAAATGTTTTTTGTTTTAAAGGAAAAGTCCGGTCCTCCAGGAATAATCAATGGATCATTGTTTATACCTAAAACTAATATGTTCGCGGTGATTTAATGAATTTAGCGTTAATCAGAAAAAGAATGAAAGCAATAATTTTAATTGCGATCATCAGGGCAAGAAGATGTTTGGAGCTAAATGCAGGACCAAGTTCTAGAAGGAACCACCCTAAACATACCATCAGAGCTTCACAATCGAAAAAGTTTAATTTTTTCTGTTTGGCCTTGAAAAAAGGAAAACAAAGCCAATTTCTGCTGATGTCCTTCAGACGACCTTGGTCAGTTTCTGGGATCTGCAGGAGAATAAAATTCCCCTGAATGATTCTTCTGCTGGTGCTTCTCCTCAGGTTGGAATCCAGAACTACAGCGCAGCCAGCAGCTGTCAGTCTCGGCCCAGTAAGACTCGCAGCGACTACGGTAAACTGTTCGTGGTGCTAGTCATCATCGGCTCCGTCTGCATGGTGATCATCACGTCCGGGTTCATCTACATCTGCTGGCAGAGGAGGCTGCCTGGAGTGAAGAGCATGGTAGGTCCACACGTTCTGGTTTGCTTGAACTTGGACCCATTTTGGGGTTTTTAGGCTGTAACATCATCCAAGAAATTGATAAACTGATTCATCTCACCAGAATCCAGCTCGCTGATCATAGAGAGGTGAGGTCAGCCTTTAAAAATGATTTCGGACTCCCTTCGTGTCCACATGGTTTAATCAATGATCAATTGTCCTTGGAGTGACGTCTGCCGGCTGTCCAGCTTAGGCTCTGCCCCTGCAGTGGTTTCATGATCACATTATCTTAGCTTTGACCCTGATTAAATGCTGTCGCTAACGTCCAGCAGACCAATAGAAATGTGTCCTCACTTCGGAGGAAAGCCCGCCCCCCAGATCCAGCACAGAACCACCGGATAATCTCATCATAGGACGCCACGGACCACGAAATGTTTATTTTGAAATGAAAAAAAAACAAACTAAAGCCTCTTTCCACATGAAAATAGCAGGTTAAAGTGTGTTTTCTTCAAACATGAATCGACCCGCTAACAATCAACATCTGGTTCCCTTTCCAATGGCAAAAGAAGCTGGTCTAACCCCTCACTGGCAGCTGCCTGGCCTCTTTTACCCCCGTAGCTGCATGTCCTGTGACATCATCATGCTGGCTTTGCGTTGATGATGTCACCAGTGTGACAGAAATCAGGAAAGTAAACAATGAAGAGCATCATGGAAAGAAGCCATGGGGTAGTCAGTGTGCTTCATTGTTTCTCTCTATTATCTGTCTGAATCCGTCTCACCAGAGCTGCTCCATGTTTACCCAATGGAAACCGAGTTGATTCTGCTTGTTAGATCAGAAGCGACTGACGCAATGTGCTGACGTCCGTATGGTGCATTCAATGGTCTCATGTAATTTAGCGGGTCGACCCGGTGTTCTGTCAAATCATCAACAGGCATGTGCAAGATGTCACATCGCTTTTATGCTTTTAGTTTTGTATGAAAAATACACTTTAAACTACCTCAATGGGCATGTGTCCCTTTAGTCACGTACAAAAAAAAAATTCAGATGGACATACACTTTAAAAACCACCAAAAAGTAAGTAGTCAAATAGCTGTTTTGTCCATGACTACAGGGATACACACCTTTTAAGGTAATTTAAAGTCGTAGTGAAGCGGCTGTTCCAATCGTTGCATTTCTGAATTCTCCCGAGTGG